TATTACTTTTTGCTGATGATATGAAACTTTGGAGAGAGATACGCAACCGAGACGATATACATGCACTTCAGGAGGATCTGGCTCGACTTTAAAGTTGGGCAGACGACAACGGACTTACTTTTAACACTTCAAAGTGTAAAGTAGTCCGTTTGCGACATGTTGCAGACTACAGTTACAACTTAGGAAACTCTTCTCTAGAAGTATCCCGAGTTGAAAAAGATTTAGGAGTGCTGGTACCCTACGATTTGAAGTCTTACGTTAACTGTGACAAAAATGCCTTTCGAGCAAACTTTGCACTGGTAACGTTGATGCTCATTTTTGGCCAGTCTGACGGAAGAACTTCCCACATAATCTTCAACAGTTCTTTTCACCCCCATTTAGAATAAGGAAACATAGTATTTCGTCCCTCACTCTAAAAGGATAAGGACACACTGGAGCGTATCTAACGCGAGGCACTAAATAAGTACGGGGACTCAAATTCAAGCCCTATGAAGAGAGCCTCAAACCACTAAACCTTTAGTCGTTAGAGTATATGCATCCTAGACGTGACCTCCTAATTGCTTGCAGTATCGTTAACACGTCTGGACATCCCCTTGTACATTTACTTAAGTTTAAATCCTACAGGAACCTAAGGGGTAACACTCAGAAACTAGAGACACAACACAGCAGAACGAACTGTAGACAACTTCTACTCCTTAATAGTTGTCAAATGCTGGAAATAGCTGCCAGCTGAGCTAGTCTAAGCGACTTCCCAGGAGTCTTTTAAGACTTGACCTATTTTTAAGAACTAAGGATAATATCCTATTATGATTTATCAATTTCTCTCTTTAATATACCTAGGTTCCTGCCTGGAAGTATTGGTGATCTACTGCTACTAGACATGGAAGCCCATTAAACGAAAGTTTCTTCTATTACATTCACAACGATTTGAACCATTTGAAGAGGTTAATCGTTCACATGCGAGACCGATGGGTCCTGGGTTCACATCCCGTGAGGCGGGATCGTCGATGCGCACTGTTGAGGAGTCGTATACTAGTAGCGAAACGATCATCCATTGCTTCCAACGTTTTCATAGTAGTCTATCTTTAATCGATTCATGAATTCAACTATTAAGTAATAAAACTGCTTATTCAACAACAACAACAACAACAACAACAAAACACAGATTCTATCAACTTAGATTATTAATGATTTCTGTTAAATTATGAAGGTCAATTTTTGCCGACATTTTTATTCGTTTACATCTATGTGTATATAAGTAGTATAAGTAGTATATATCACAGTTAAAGGTCATTCATTCATTATTATTATTAAAACACAATATACAGTTAATAATCCAAATTGTTTCGTATAAAGATTACTGATTTGTAAAGGAATTTACCGATATACCGACAAATAGAGATAAACATTAAACAATCTACTTTTGTTTATTATTATTATTATTATTATTATTATTATTATTATTATTATTACTATCGATACAAGTCAAAGAATGTATAATTGATGAACTATTTTATTGATATTCTTTTTCTCTGTTAAAATGTTATATGTATGTATATGTGTATGTATGCAGGTATGTATGTGTGTATGCATGTTTGTATATGTAATCAATGATCAATTATTGGCTTTAGGTAAGGGTGAGGGATGATACTATTACTCGATTGACTACATTGATGTGTACTGCTGAAGAGTTCAACAACAGGATGAAACGGGCCTTCCAGTGTTTCTAGGTTTTTCATGATGGTCTAGCTTCAATTAACTGATGAATTCAACTTTTGAAATTATTATAATATCCACAAGAGGTATTTCCTCAAGTTCTAATGAGAAACAGTATCCAGTGGACTTCTATCGGACCTGTTGTGAGATAGTAACTGAATGAAGACAATGATGGATATGTCGTTCAATTTTGTGGATTAGTTGAAGTTATACATTAACACCATTGGATGCCGGCCAGCTCAGTGGTCTGGTGGTTAGGCGCTCGCGCGCAAGACTGATGGTTTCTGGGTTGTAAATTTGCGAGACGGTATCGTGTATGCGTACTGCTGAGGAGTAGTTCCACAATAGAAGGAAACGACCGTTCAGTGCTTCCAATTTTTCCATGATGGTCTAGCTTCAATTGACTCATGATCACAACCATTGATGTTAAATTGAATTAACTGATCTGGGGTTCGAACAAATGACTTGTTTGACTTAAAGTTGAAAATGCTTCAACTATATATTTTTGATGATTACACTGACTAGTAATTTGATCATATAATAAATTTATTACATTAATTTGGAAGTTTCACAAACGATTAATAGGATTTCATGACATTCGTCATAAACATACAAACCAGTGTATGGATGGTTGAGAATTGAGTGAAGGTGTATGTATGTTTATTTTGTAGATAACCCTAAATGTGGACTGATATTAACCGGAGAACTATTTTTTTAGAATAAAAACCACTTGGTAATTACCATATCACAATTTATAATTAGTGAGGAGTGAAGAATTCTCCGATTCAGTAAACGTTTGTATGGGGTATTTCTCATGGACTGACATTAGACTGGTTAACATTTCAGGTTACTTTCAAACTATCCAGTAATAAACACTAATGATCAAATTCGAAACCTTCTAGTCTAGGAAAAATAGTTTAACTATCGGAACACTGAATCAGAGTTCGTTCCGTTTAACTGCTAGTGTGGTTATCTATGTGGATGAAATAGTTACTCACTGCTCTCTAGTTTACTGTGATACCATAATCGAAATCAATCCGTGGTGAATACCATCTAAAAATCGAACCATTCTCCACTTAACCTCTATCAAAACTGATAAAAAAATTTTAGAATGATTATTAATAATAATAAAGGTGTAAAAGATTTATTTAGAAAGAAATACCAAGCCTAATTTGAATCTTCGTACACCTATAAACATTATTGATATAGGTTGGTTTATGGAAACTTTCTTATATGAAGACAATTCATTTGACGAACTGATATCAGCAGCAGAAATATAGGAAACAAGCAACAGCTGGATATCTTTGAAACTCTTCAGGAGCTCGCGCCTAAACTCTTGCATAAGATTTAACCAACAAGCTTTAATCTTAATTATGAGCACAATAATTAACACTAGTTCACTAGATATTGTTTTGTTTGAACCTTCCCATTGAGATTTAAAACTGTAATTGATCAGTCTTTTATTGGTATATGTGCATACTGTACACATCCAGCTGATGAGCTCAGAACAGGACGAAACGCGTGTCCTGGATTCCACTGCTAGCCACTATCCATCTTTGCTTATAAAGCTTGCTAAATAAGGCAATACGCCCAGTATGCACATATACAAATAACAGACTGATCAACTGCAGCCTTAAACCTCAATAGGAAGTTTCCAGCAAAACAATACCAAGGGAATTTAAATTCACCCCATTGCACAAGCAAGTGGCTATCAGGCCTCAATAGCTGAGTGGATAACGCGATGGTGTTTAAAGCCAATCGTACTGAGTTCGAGTCCGAGAGTGAAGATCAGCTTTGAGATACAGATACATCCTTGAGGTACCAATTCCAAGGTTGAACTTGATAGTTTCAAATAAATTGAGCATTGGGTAGAAAGTTAGTAATCAATGTATTCTTTGTTATATCCTGATGAGTGGAAAAAATTACCTCTGATGTTTCGTGACCTAATGTAATCTACTTCTTCAGAGTAAATAAGTAACCGAAATTAAATCAACACAAGTTTAAATAGTACAAAGGAAAGAATGATTTGTATTTTTTATATTTATTTACATTAATATTGATATTGTGTGGATCAGTTTGGATATGAACTAGATTGATCATAGTTGCTCATTAAATTTCTGGAGTACTCCTATCTAATTAAATAATCATCGATTCAACTCACTAGTCAAGAGGTTAGACATTTACACGAGAAACTGAAATCCATCGGTTGCATTTTTGCGTGAAATGTCGTGAATGCTATTACGAGTTCACCTTACTCGGTAAACGGAACGAAGGTCAACAATACAGTGATACGATAGGCTATTCTAATCCATTGGCCCTGCTAACTAGATCAAGAAGTCTTGATGAGGCGTAGAGAATGTATCCTATAAGCACCCATAAAATACTAAGTCACTAAGCACATAAGTCAAGCTTATTTATACAATGATAGAAATGCCCTTGAGAGAGCCACAAAATAGAGTACTAAAGAAATCCGTCAACCAATGATAGTCAAGGATTGCTGAGTAGGAAATGTAAGCTATAGGTTAACTAAGCATCTCTTGGCGCGAAAACATAAAATTCAAATTCTCGGAATGAAATTACAAAATTAGGACCTTTTCCAAGTGAGTTCTGGGGATCTTACGTCCTCAACAATGTCTTATTCATGAACATTCAAAGTCTTACATTAAAGAACTACATGGGATTATTTATTGAAAATTATCTCGATATACATTCGATTGACTGAAAAGCATATCAAATTGATCAGTTTTACAAGTTAAAGTGATTTGTTTTGCATTGGAACGGGTTTTACATTTATGACCCCATCCAATTCGCAATATAACACAGGATATAAACCAATGCATAAACCCTGAACATATAAGGATATGAAACATATAATTATATTCAAAGATGGATAGTGGTTAGCAGTGGAATTCAGTTTGACGCGCGTTTCGTCCTATTTGGGACTCGTCAACTGGATGTACCTCCATCTCAGAATTGATGTTCACTCATGGAGGGACTCAAAACCAGTACCATTCGCTTCAAACGCCATCGTATTATCCACTTAGCTACTGAATCCTGATAGCCGCTCGCTTGTGCAATGGGAGTTCGAGTCCCAGAATGAACATCAACTCTGAGATGCAGGTACATCCAGTTGACGAGTTCCAAATAGGACGAAACGCGTGTTCTGAATACCACTGCCTATAAAGTTTAGTACTTCAGGCAATATCGGATGCATATATGCCAACATGAGACTGATCAATTGCAGTCCTAAATAACAATGGGTAGATACAAGTAAACAACACCAATTGAAATATATAATTATATTATTTATCTCCATGACTTTCACCAGAACCATAACAATAAAAACAGAAAGAGAGAGAGAGAGAAATCAAAGTTAACTGAAACTAATTAATTAATTAATTATATATGCAATTACTTCTTTCTTTTTTTTCTTTCAAATACACGTACAATTTGAGGATTATTGAGAGTGTGTGTGTGTGTGTGTGAGTGTTGTTGTTGTTGCTGTCGTTGTTGGAGTGAAGTGAAGTGTAATGCACAGACCCAAACTGTAATACAGATCAACACATACACACACACACACAGAGGGAGAGAGAGACACACATACACAAAAGTTTATCACTAATAAACAAAATGTTCGAAATAGATATTGATATGAAAATATTCGAAACAATTATGGTTACAATTTGTCTGTTCATAAGACTTAGTAATTGTAAATAATAGTCGTTATGATAGTACACAGTAGGATTCCAATATTTTCAACATAATATATTGTATGTACAAGAAAAGAAAAGAAGAAAAAAAACATAAAACTGTACACAAAGTTAATTAAAAGAATAGTTTGTACAGATACTAAATAGATAGTTACATAATCATCATATCAATACACACACACATACATACATACATACGAGTAAATAAGCAGGTAGATATACATCAATGCATGTATACACAACAACAAAAAGAAGTGTACATATGGCAGGAACAATAATTAATAGGGATAAAATATATGAGGTAGTTGCAATGGTAGGAGGAGGAGGAGGAGGAGGAGGAGGGGGAGTAGCATAACACATAAAAGAAATAAACAAATACATAGATTAATCATTATAAAATTAAAAGGAAAGGATCATGGATGAAGAAAAAGAAGAAGAAGAATATTGAACGGTTGAAATTATTATTAATCAGCACGTTCTACACGTGCTACAACTTTACCTTCCCATAATGGTAGAATAGCATTATCATTTGTTAATTCTTCATGAACTACACCAGTACCAAATTCATCATTGGGTTTTTTGAAAAAATATCTACAAAAGAATAACGAAGAAGAATTAAACAACAACAAAACATAGAATAAGAATCATAAAACAAAAACGTGACAATAACTAGAAACAGCAACATGTCTCATAAGCATATATATATATATATATATATATATATATGCGCTACACCACCATGGAAAACCTGGAAGCACTGGATGGTCATTTCCTCCTATTGTGGAACTACTCCTCAGCAGTACGCATACACGATACTGTCTAGCAAAATTACAACTCAGAAACTATCAGTCTCCTGCGCGAGCGCCTAATCACTAGACCACTGAGTTGGCCGGCATCCAATGGTGTTAATGTATAACTTCAACTAATCCATGAAATTGAGCGACACATCCACCATTATCTTCATTCATTTACTATCTCACAACAGGTCCGGTTGAAGTCCACTGCATACTGCTTCTCACTAGAAGTTCAAGAAAATACCTCTTGAAGTCAGTTACTAGTGAGCATACGGTGATTAATATTAAAATCATCTCAACTATTGAAATTACTATAAAATCCACAAAACCCCTTCTGATATATTATCAGAAGGGGTTTTGTGGAGATTTTAAAAATTTCACAGATTGAAATCATGAGTCCATTGAAGCTAGACCACCATGGAAAACCTGGGAGCACTGGACGGTTATTTCGTCCTAGTGACTGATTTCAAGAGGTATTTCCTGAAGTTCTAGTGAGAAGTCGTCACCAGTGGAGTTCAACCAGGTCTGTTGTGAGATATCAGGTCAATGAAGACAATGGTATGCGGTGGTGCAACTTCATGGATTGGTTGAAGTTAGCCATTAACTTCTGATATATGTATGTATATATAATTTTTATTATTGTTGTGGGAAAATTGACATGAAATAGAATAAGTTTCGTTGTTTATTAAGGTTTACATTTGTCCAGTTATGGGTTAACGAACTAACTAACAAGTAAAGAGCATTTTTTGCACACTGGTAGTGTGGTGTGACCTACTTATATTGATATAAGTAGTATATAACGTGCGTTAAAAGAACGTAATGTCCGGCAGCAGAAGATGGCGAAGATCAAGAAAGGAAGAGCAAGAACACAATGCAATTGTAAGAAAACGCATGTACAATGGAATGGGAGACAATGGATTAGTGTTTGCAACGGGAACAGTACAGTTTGATATGATGGAATGATATTTTGCAAATTGACGATTGACTTTATGGTATTCACATTTATTGAGATAGTCTGTAATTTTCGTGCCAAATACAGTCGATTGTCCCCACCCGTGTTCTTGTTCACTACAGTAGTAGTAGTAGTCAGTTGTCGATGTATTCATATGTATGTACATAATAATCATTCGGTTATTTCTAATCTTTCACACACACACATACATATACGCTCTCTCTCTTTCACACACACACACACACACTTGTAACAAACTGAATGAATAAATTATATTAAAGATTAGAAATAGACATTCGGTATAGTACAGTGTGTATAGTTTAAATATGGATTAATTGTGATATGACTAGACCAGATACTAGAAAAATCGATTTGGGAAAAAAAAGATGAAAACAGAGAAACTGGTGTAAGAAGAAAAAAACAACTAGGTGTTACTTGTTGTCTTAATAAAGGATAAAAACTATTTTGAAAAAAACTAGTTCGAACAATACTGTAACGACCGAACTGACAGTATTCGGTTTGAACGCCGGACTGACGAATCAAAATTTATTCGAATACATCACACTACGTTCTACTGTATAGCTTACAAACCGTTTTTGAGATATTCGTATTAAATTATATCAAAACACAATACTCTGTGCTTAATTTAAACGGTTCTAATTTAGAAAATAGAACTAATTGTATCAAAAATACAAAATACCTCAAACGGTACAGCTTGTGCTATACAATCAGAAGTTTCTCTAACACAAAGTAGCGCGCTGAACAATAAAAGAAACGGTTAATATCAAAGGGTTCGATACCTGAGAATTAATAAAAAATATTCCCATAAAGATGGGATCAGATATCTATCTGCAGAGATTCCAGCAATCTTCCCAAACAGACAGTCAAAGGTTGACAAATACACACTGAATTACGCCGTGACCGTGAGCGTAGTCAAACACAACCTTACTGTCAATAGTCCGGCAACATGCAATAGAAAATCAGACAACGAAGGATAAGTCTTTAATCAAAATTACGTAATAAAAGTTCAGACGAGGAAGACTGAAGAACAAAAGGTGTGGTTAAACAAGATCTGAACAAAGGTTAAAATACACGACAGGGAGAAGAAACAAATAAATGATAGTACTGTCCAACAAAAAGGCTGCGGAGGGATTTTCATCGTTTTCTTTCCGTTACAAATACAATACAATACGATATATATAACTCCTAGTAAGGTTTATTGGCTAAAGTTTTAGGTGAAAGCTAAGAGCCACTCTTTCGGACCTAACTATGATTGAGACATATATATTGTCTAGTGTTTCATCACACACGAGCGAGTCCAGTGTTCGAATCTCGTGAGGCGGGATCGTGAATGTGTCAACTGCTTGTAAATCAAGCATCCAAATATAATACAATTATCTGTTGTAAACTGGAGATGAGAAAGACTAGATGAGATTCAGAGTAAGACAGACCATAATAATAATGATAAAACACTCCAATTCACGTCACATTACAATTTAATGTGTAGCACTTAAAAATTCAAACATTTCATATCCCTCTTTGTCAAGTATTCCAAATGATCGAAAGCTATAATTTGTCCATGTATTTAACTGAAGCATCTTATTTCTACAAAAGAAAAAATAGCTTCCATACTTTTAATTTCATAGAAACTAGTGATAATCTTTCATGACAAACTCTTCTTGATCAAATCTACATACCCAGACCCAGTTTTATGGTGAGGGAAACAAAATTACATTGCTTAAATCTCATCATGTTTTTTGTTCTTAGAATTAAAATTTGTCTTACTCAATGAGGTCATCACTATGAGATTCCAATATGTGCATAGGTGAATACAATTTGACATTTTTATCCTCCCCAAATGTCCTGGCATGGCCGAGAGTGAAATGGGCCCACCCTCCCTCTCAAAATGCTCTCACACGGCCACGCATATACAGCTTCTGCCACGAAAGTCCTACTCACTACCTTCTCGTGGTGGGGGGTGTTGTTTACGAAAACGAGAAGACAAAAAGTGAATGTCCGGCGCTTTAACCGGATTCCAAACCAATGGTGCACATGGGCTCCAGTATCCTGAAGGAACGAATGGAGTATGAACCAATCGTTGGTCACCGGCTACCATGGGACTGTATTTCCTCACGATGCTCCACTGCCTTGTGGATTAGACCTTTAGGTCAAAGGCTCGGGGTGTGGCCTCCTAAGAAAACCACCTGCTTCGGTTTGGGCACCCGGGCAGTATCACAGTACACACACAAATATAATGATAATGAAAATGTGTGACGCATATATATTTGGTGCCCTCTTGTACCAATATTTATGTGTTCAAATAAACAAATAAATAATAAATTTTTATCCTCTATATTTACATCTTAGAAACAGGGTCATTTGAAAAAAAAAGATTCAGTGAGCTTACAAAATATCAAGCACAGAAAAAAGTGACTATCATAAGAACTTACCGATAAACACCTTTTTTAGCAATCAATTGTTTAAATTGTCCCAATGTTAACAAAGATTGATTACTCAATTTAGTTTGAAAATTGTCTACAATTTCTGATTGATCATTAACTTCAACAAATAGACCAGACGAAGAAATGGAAGAAGATGGAGGTGGATTATGTGAACCACCAGTCCAAACAGTTCGATAAGGAACAGGATCATCGCATAGATAATAGCCGACAACTAATCCAGCACCTGATGAACCAGTTGTGGAAGTAGTATGGCAACTCTGTTGCATCATCCCAGATGATGATGAAGATAATTTAGAGTCCAAACGTGTACTATAAAATTTTTAAAAAAAGTTAATAAAATAACGATTATTTACTATTTATTTAAACATATAAACATTGGTACAAGGAGACACCAAACAGATATGCACCACATAAATCATTTGATTTAGGTGAGGGCTGAGATACTGTCTGGGTGCTCAAACCGAAACAGGTAGTTTCCTTAAGGGGCCACACCCGGAGGCGTTGACCTAAAAGTTTGATCCACAAGGCAGTGTAGCAATGTATAAAGATACAATCTCATGGTAGCTGGTGACCAATAATTGGTTCATACACCTTTCGTTTCCTTAGTATCATGGAGCCCATATGCACCATTGGTTTGGAATGAGGGTTTTCCAACCGCCCTAGGTGAAACTGCATATCTACCAACCCGGTTAAAGCGTAAGCAATAGTAATGCCCCGAGAAGGCAGTAAGCAGGACATACCTGACAATGGCTGTATCGACTTGACTTTATGAGAACAACTAAAGAGCGAAAGCTGACTCTCCCCACTTTCAGCTGTACTAGAGCATTTGGAACGTGAAAGTTTTTATAAAAATAATACTTTAAACCTTAAATTTTGATGATTAAAATGCTTAATTCAATTCAAAAATAAACAAAACTACTCATTATCATTTAATTAACCCTAAAAATCTTTACTAGTGCAACTAATAGTTAGTTCACTTGGTATTGTTTGGCTTGTATCTTCCCATTGAAGTTTAAGACTGTAATTGATCAGTCTGTTATTGGCATATGTGCATACTGTGCATACCAGTATATTCCTTTATAAATGCCTTTTCATTCTGTCCTCTCGAATTTTATTGTCAATGTTTAATCTTTCTCATAATTGTTTCTAGATTATTTCTATTATTTTACAATTGATTTCATCATGCCGATATGGTATAGGCGAATGCCCTGGTATAGCCAAGAATGGGAAGAATTCAACACTCCCTCTCCAAATGCTCTCACATGGTCATATTGATACACCCACTAACAGGGAAGTCCTAATCACTGCTTTCTCATGGCATTACTGTTGTTTACAAAATTGAGAGAATGAAAAGCGAATGTCCGATACATTTTAACCTGGTTGGTTAACAACAATCTCAATCCGATACACTGAAATCATATCAAATAATAATAATGTCTGAATGAATAGAAAAATTAAATTTTCTGATGTTTCATGTCAGTCAGTTAGCTACAACGTAGGATCAGGCACATATATACATCAGTTCAAGTTACCATACCTCATTAACATAACAAGATGAACATCAGATTTATAGAAGTAGTTCATTCAATGATGGTAGTGTGTGATATAAAAGAAAGATTGTTGTTTTATGACTCAATTTTGAACTAGTTCTTCAGAGGATTGTTAATTGAAAGATGAATAAATACATTGTATCAAACATCAAAAACTTTATTGAATGTATCCATATGTTGTTTGATAAATTGAAAACTGACTATTATCATCATCATTGTTACTATGTTGTGTTTTTGTAATCATGATTTGGATAAGTTTTTATGATGTTCTATTTATAACTTTAGTTTTAAGCATTTAAAACCTTGGCTTGATTCAGTGTTTCAAATTAGTTGATATTTGTCACTGTTAAGTCGGCTTTCCGAGAACTGCAACGGAGCCTCCAGAGGACCTAAAGGAGCCCAAGAGTCCTAACCAATCAGAGTATCATGGAGTTTTCTAGAATGTCAGCATGGAGTGCTACTATTGGTCAGTAGCATAATATATCTTTTAGTGGATTGGCCAAAATATGATGTTGATTTAACAAATGTTAACATCTATAAATACCCGTGTTTTTCTGTACAAAAATGAACCTTTGAAGTAAAGTGTTTTCGCTTATTTTGCGCCTTTTCTCTCGAGTTCAGGTCGCTGCGAAGTTCTAGCTTGCGGGTTACCAGAATAGCTTAGGAACCGAATAAAGCGTTCAAATTAACAAAACTTATCAGTCACATCAAGATATATCTACAGTTTTTGAAGAATTAATTCTTCCTGTGGGATTCGAACCTACGGTACACATTAACAGATGTTACCATCGAACTTCTTGGGAATGGAAATTGATCTAATGTAGTAGGACTGAGATATTAACACCGTCTACATAGTACTAATAAATATCCTGATTACTTAGCTCTTTGTGTTAGTTAAATTACATGTGTCAGGAGGTCAATCATCGACCACATGTTAGAATCATACAAAGAACAATATTTTCCTCGAGAGTGTAGACACATTACTGACAAAAGTCAACTAACTGCTACTCTTATTACTCTGGTATTTGTCTTGAAATAATTCTATCGTGTTGTGTTAATGTGGTACGGCAACTTGAACTGAGGCATGTGTCAGATTTCACGTTGCGTATAACTGATCGACTGATTGAACTAACATGAATTTTGATTCAATATACCGCAGAATAACACATGTCATTTATTAAACCACACTTAACAAGTGCTGATAAGACAGTTGTTTATTTCCTAATTAACATACATCGTATATCCTGAACCATCGAGTAAGTAATGCAGTTGTTAGGAAACGGGTACTAGGTAAGGATGGCAAATCAATTGATGAAGTAGTGAAACTTGATCAGTTGAGATGGCTGGGACACGTGTTACGTATGCCCAACCACCGACTGCCTCAACGTGCGATGTTCAACGGTATAGGAGTAGGTTGGAAGAAGACTAGGGGCGGCCAGACCAAAACATGGCACAAGTCCATGAAGTCACTGACAAGTGGACCGAGTCATGTTGGTAGGTGTAGACTACCTACCTGGTTGGGGACCGCGAGATGATAGCAACCGATGGTTAGAGACTCTGAATGACATGGCTCAAAATCGTTTGCACTGGCACAGGTGCATCCACTCTTTGTGTTCTCCCAAATTCTAATCTTCTGAATTCTTCATGTCCCTTTATTTTTTCTCTTTCCAAATTTGTTTCATTGTATTATACTCTTTAAATAACATCTCCAAACCTTAATGTTTCCGATTACTGCTTATGCTCTTACTACCTCTATCACTACGGGATGTGAATCGACAACTGCATCTCTGTGCTAATGTGGTATGGCAACTCGAACTGATGTACGTAAGTACGAAGTTCTACGTTGTTACTGACTGACTGACTAATTAACGTACTTTCGTTTATAGTCCTAAATAAGTGCGACGAGACAGCGATGATAATAATATAATATTATGATCGTGGAAAGGTAGTTAGGACCCTTCACTGCCTGCTTCAGTGGTTGAAATTCGAATATTCTATACCATTAATTAATAAACAAGTTATATTATTACTATTTACCAACGAATAAAATATGGTAGAGAATCAACTAACCTTGTATTATTTTCATCATGATCATCATCGTTTTCGTCCAAATCCAGTCGAATATTGTTGTTCAACTCCAAACTATTGTCAACATTCATTGAATTTTTAGGATTCTTATTATTGGTACTACTACTATTAGTAGTCATATTGACATTATTACTACCAATACGATGTGCGCTAGATTTCCGATGACTATGATGATGATGATGGTGATGATGATGTGATTTTCTTCCATGTGACGATGATGATGATGGTTCTTTACCATTTTTATTAATCTGTGCTTGTGAATTATCATTGGACAACAACACAGCATGATCTGAAGATAGAGATTTTATTTTCTGCTCATCATCATCATCATTAGTAGTAGTAGTAGTAGGTCGAAGTGGTGTATGTAAAGTTTCTGATGAATTTTGTTGTAATTGTAACCAGTGTTGAAGTAATTTACCACTTGTTGGCTTTTTACAATCATTATTCACATCTATTAAAATAAACATACACATGATAGAAATTATAATCATAGTCAAAAAGATTGAAGAAATAAATATCAAATCTTTTTTTCATTTTAAGACTGAACCTGAAAGTGTAGCTCAGGAAGTAGCCAAATGAGGATTTCTATATGTTTTTCTAATGAGTAGAGGTTAGTGTTATTACGCACTTATTCAAGTTGAATAAGATGTAAAGAAGATCGAACTCAAGTTGTGGATGGCTACCAGTCATAATCAATTTAGAGCCTGGTACATATATATATATGTGTGTGTATTGGCCAAAGTTAGGGCCAGAAGTCGAAATAATCATAGTAGTAATGAGAATTTTTTTTAAAAAAAACTAAATGTTGAAAATACGGTTCAAGAGTCCGGAGTGAGAACGTATCTGTGCGAGTATTGAAATTCAAGATCTAGAAGAAGATAAATGATGAATATATCTGCTTCATTCAAACCGATCTTGACTCACATCATCCAACGTCTCTAACCGCTGGTCATCGTTATTGAGCGGACCTCAACCACGTAGTCTGGATCTGGATCAGACACTAAAAACATGTTTTGATTGAGCCACCTTTTTTTTCTTACAACTTAGTCCTGCTTCAACAAGCACTGGATATTAAAGTAGACTTTAGTTAGGTATACATACGTAATACATGTCCCAACTAATTTCAGTAGGTAAAGATTGACAAACTTATCAATCGATTTGTCATCTTTTGTCTAATATACACTATCCCTCACCTTCCAGTGGTTACAAATTAATTCTAAATAAACACTTCACTCTTTTACTCTAAGCTCTTCTTATTTCTCATTTCGTGTATATGGATACAATAATCAACATAGAAACAATCTAACAAGATGATTTCGCTTAACTTTTTTTAATATTCAAAACATTAATCAAATATGTTTAATCTACTACTACTACTTTGTAAACGTATATACTTTTATAATAATCTATCAAGGTGTCACTATATTCTATTTGTTTAATGATTCTCATTGCTTCCACATCATTTGGTGTATTCACAATAGTTATATCCGTATTTGGTGCTTAGGACACGCACACACACACACACACAGAGACTATATGTATGTATCTATGCACATATATTTGGCGCCACAAAGAAATTATACATTCAAATTGTATAATTGTTTTAATACTTTAATTAAAAGTTCTTTGTTTAAATTCTCTTATATAAGGCGAATAAATAGTAAACATTCATAAATAACAAATGAACATGAAAGATTTGAACAAAATTAATATACATGAATTTAATATTTAAGATAATGATAATTAGATGGCAATCAGTCAGTCAGTGTGTGAAAGAGATAATGAATACCCGTACCCCAGAAATGCCCTGGTACTGCCGAAAGTGAGGAGAGTTAGCTCTTCCTTTACAAATGCTCTCACATGGTCACGTGCATACAATCACTGACAGGGAAGTCCTAATCACTGCTTTCTCATGACATTACTGTTGTTTACGAAATTGAGAGAAAGAAAAGCGAATGTCCGGCGCTTTAACTGGGTCGGTGGACACAGAGGATCCATCTAGGGTAATTGGAAAACCTTTATTTCAAACCAATAATGCACATGGGCTCTAGAATCCTGAAGAAACAAATGGCGTATGAACCAATCGTTAGTCACCGGCTACCATGGGACTGCATCTCCTAATGTTGTTCCACTGCCTTGTAGATTAGACCTTTAGGTCGAAGTCTCTGGGTGTGGCCTCCTAAGAAAACCACCTAGTTCGGTTTGAGCACCCGGGTAGTATCTCAGCCCTCACATGAATCGAATGATTTATGTGGAGCATATCTGTTTGTTGTCTCCTTGTACCAATGTTTATGTGTTTAAATAAATAAAATAAATGAGCGAATCGCTTCAGGATTTTGTATAATTTCAGAAAACCGATAGTTCTGCACCAACTATTGGGACATTACTGTTAACTCATCGTCACTTACAGATTGGTGTATTTGGCTTATATCCACTCTATGTATGTTTATGTTACTATTAAGTTACTCATATTCAATTAGGAGAGGAGTTCAAACTTCCAATGTGATAACTGAAAGTCAAATGTCTAAACCAGTGAAAAATCACTTCATAAGGATAAATACCGTTCCATCTATTTTGAAATATACACAAATAGAGAGTAACCTTTCATCACATTATATAATAAATGTTTCTATAGAAATCTTACCACAGACAAACCATAAATGTTTGATAAGTTAAACCTATAACACTAAAATGAATCAATCTTATCACACACAACAAAATGAAAGTGGAATGAAGCAGAATATAATCTTGATGAGACCAACTGTAATATCAATATTGTTGTTCATTTTCACATTCATAGTTCATATTTTAACCATAGTAGTACACAACCATAAAGACAAGTCGAATGCTTTAATTTAACAAGTAATTAACTCAACACTAACACTAAGTTACCTTCTATTTAAGGATGAATTTTAAGTCATAATAATCCCTCTCTCCAACAAAAGGTAGTGGTTTTGTTGTTATTCTTATTATTATTGTTCTATTCAATAGGTATTTCTTTTTTAATGCATTTTCCATTACATAACAACTATGTTTATGTTTTGCTTATTTTCACTATAAGATAACTGAACATGCACATGGGCACTTGACACATACACAACAACCTACATGTATACAAATAAAAAGCTATCAACTTAGTGTATGTGGTGTATTGATGTATGAAAGAGACAATCACATGTAAGTAACAGAAAACAAACAGACAAATATGAAATATAGGCAATTGATCAATGATGATAATGATAACATGAATAGGCATTTCTTTAAAGTATTTTATTTATTTATTTAAAGACATAAACATTGGTACAAGGAGGCACCAAATATAAATGCTGCACATAAATCATTCGATTTGTGTGGGGGGGGCTGGGATATTCCCCTGGTGCTCAGACCGAAGTAGGTGGTTTTCTTAGGAGGCCACACCCCGAGCCTTTGACCTAAAGGTCTAATCCACAAGGCAGTGGACGATCGTGAGGAGATGCAGTCGCATGGTAGCCGGTGACCAACGATTGGTTCATACGCCATTTGTTCCTTCAGGATATTGGAGCCCATGTACACCATTGGTTTGGGATCCGGTCAAAGCGCCGGACATTCGCTTTTCGTCCTCTCATTTTCGTAAACAACACCCCCGCCACGAGAAGGCAGTGAGTAGGACTTCCCTGGCAGAGGCTATATACATGTGGCTGTGTGAGAGCATTTGGAGAGGGAGGGTTGGCCCATTTCACTCTCGACCATGCCAGGGCATTTGGGGGCTGTTTAAAGTACTTCTCTTTATGGTGTAACTCATTATGAAACAAGTAAAAACAAGTAAAAAATTGGTGAACATAATACTTCATTAGGTCACCTGGAGTTTGAAAACAGAATGCATTAACTACTACTGAGAGTGCCTTTTGAAATAAATCAATTGCTGGATCTGAGGATATCAAGGATAAATTCCGAAGTAAATGAGGTATATCAATTATAAGAACGATGTAGCTTGATGTGTTGTAATAGGAAAGATGAGAGTAGATCAGAAATATGATTATTGAGAACTAGGTATGTAAAACTTGATAGTTAGGGTATGTACTGGTAACTTACCAGTACAATCCAATATTGAATATAGTGTCTAAAAGTCAATCTATGTTGTGCAAATAGATGCAACAGCTATGTGTTATTCTCCAGTTGTCGATGGTATCCCAACTGATATCAATCATTAATAAATACAACTTATAAATGTTCAAAATCTACACAACTACATTTTTATTTTCTTCATAAACTTGATATTATTCATGATTTGGTCATCATCAGCAAACCTATCACCAATTATTATTATTATTGTAGACTAAGAAGAAGTATATAATTATGATTGTACACTCTTTTGCTTTTGGTGAATGAATCCGCCGTTCAGAAAGAGATCTCTTCACTGAACTACAACACATTACTTAATGCTTTGTAATTAGTATTAATGTTTACAATATGAAAATGGTAAGAGTTTCTCTCTAACACACAGAAAACAATCATAATCCCTGTATTCTATTCTATCTATAATGCATAATACACACAACATCAGTTAGTCAGTCAGTCAGTAACAACGTAGAAATTCGTATGTACGTACACACAACATATACTACTGACACTATCACCATTGGATACCGGCCAGCTCAGTGGTCCAGTAGGTTAGGCGTTCGCGCGCGAGAGCGAAGGCCCTGGGCTCGAATCCCGCGAGCAGGATCGTGGATGTACACTAGATCAGTGGTCTAATAGGTAAAGAGTTCGCACGCGAGATTAAAAGGCCCCGGGGTTGGAACCTTGCGAGGTGGGACCGTGGATGTGCACTGCTGAGGAGTCCCACACTAGGACGAAACGGCCGTTCAGTGCTTCCAGGTTTTTAAAGGTGGTCTAACATCAATCGCTTCATGATCTCAACCAAGAGCTTAATAATCTCCACAATCCCTATACTAACAATTCAGTCAGTCAGTCAGTCAGCAATAACATAGTAATATATAATGAAAATTTTAATTTATCTTATGTAAAAAGGTTAAAAGAAACAAAAACATCAAAGAATTTAAAGAGAAAAAAATTAGTTAATTATCTATAATAATCACACAGATCATTCGTTCCACTGTTTCCCATTCATTAATCTTTACTCCTTCCATCATCTCCCGACCTTCTTAACTCTTAACATTAAACATAATGATTACATCTAAGTGGAGTTTAAGTATTCACTATTATCCCTTCGACTTTTACACTACCATTTCTGTGTTAAAAATATTTTAAAAAAAGGTAAAATTTTGAGGAACAGATAATGAAGAAGAAGAAGAAGAAGAGGAAAGAGAGAATAGAAAAACAAAAAAAGAGAAAACAAACAAATTAAAAACTAAAAAAAACATTGTTTCATTCATTAAGTATATATATATATATATATATATATGCGGATGTATGAGAGAGTTAGGGCGAATCAGTGGCGGTGAATATCATAAAAGCAACATTGTTAGTCTATATATATAGGACAGAAAAAGTACACTGAAACCGAAATAGATTACATCAGTTGTTAATTCCTAAACAAACCAAACCAACATAGATACACATAGAAACACAAAGCAAATAGAACTATTATTGAAATGATCAAAGAAATTACCGACATAATTAATAATATAAACTTATAATTTAGTATTAGATGTAGACGTATATCTTCTATACGTCGACAATACATGAAAAGTACACAGGGATAAAGACAATATACGGAGAATTGTATGTATGTATGTTGCTGTGTATGTGTGTGTATGTATATAGGCATAAAGAATAAATAGATACCGGTATTCACCACATCAACAAATAAACAAATAAAAAAAGCATCAAAGTAAATAGGACGGTAAAAAGTGTTTTCTATTGGACAATAGTAAATAACAAGAGATAAACAAGATAAACTATTCCATATATACACACACACACACATACATATAATATGGATATAAAGAAGAGAAGAAAAAGAACACACAGTTTAGTTAAAAAGAAGCACTTCAAAGGGACTATATAATTCAGAATATAAATGCAAATATGAATGGAAGAAAGAAAGAAAGAAAGAAAAAGGGAGAAAAGAATCACAAACAGTTTGCGGCTTCTTTTGAAATCATTTATGTATATCAGTATAGCAACAACGACAACAATAACGACGACAATAACAAAATAACGACAAGTGAAAAGTGAAAATAGAAGAAAATTAATCTCATTACTATACAATTACAACTACTGATTATGATGATTATATATTTCATTTATATTATTACTATCATTTAATCTCATATCAATAAACGAATCGAATAAAAGACAACTTCTATATAAGAATAATAACTTTCATTATCTTCAACAAATATACAATACACATATGTACTTGTTGTGTGTAAATAAAGAAGAAAATTCATATTACACTTAATTGTTAATATCTGTGATTGCCCAAAGCCGTTAATCAGAAACAGTGAATTATCGATCGGATCCACAATGCATAAAACACATGCGAGCAGTCTAGAGTTCTGATTGGTCCTGCTTTCTGGCTTAGCCCATTTAGTTAAGTCCAGAATTCTTATATTTCAAACATACTGAGTTTATAAAACCAATCAAACAGATCAAAATGTAGCATAAAATAAAAAATAACATTTGGCCAAATGTGGCTGTGAATGTGGGAGGTAGTGATTAATAGACTAGGCATAATTCAAGAATGGTAAAACGTATAATAATAGTTTATGGGTCAAAATAAAGCTTATAATAAGAGGAACATGAATATGAATAGTTGAGCTACTTAACAATTATACAATAAAAATATACCCATAGTAATGGTCTATAAATGGATTCCGAAAGTTACCATTCATTATGTTTATCGGGACCTAACAGTATCACAAGGGGTTTTGTGGACATTATAGTAATTTCAATAATTGAGATCATAAGTCAATTGAAGCTAGACCACCATAGAAAACCTGGAAACAATGGACGGTCGTTTCGTCCTATTGTAGGACTCCTTAGCAGTGTGCATCTACGATCTCGCCTCGCAAGATTCCAACACAGGACCTATCAGTCTCGAACCGAGACGGCAGTCCAGTGCTTCCAGGTTTTCCATGGTGGTCTACCTTCAAATGACTTATGATCTCAACTATTGAAATTTAAGTGTTAGTTATAAATTATTCTATACTTTTAGATAGAGATGAAATTCAGGACATAGTCCCGAATACTGACAAGAGCGGTAATTTAAAAAAACCACGAGAATAACATTATACTCTATGTGGAAAAACTAGTATATGTTTGAACTCAGTTGCTTTAAGCATAACAGACTGATACTGGAAGTAATGGGTTCAAGTGTCAATGTAAACATCAGTAACAGTGGGTTATAAGCACACACAGATACCATGTCCTAAATGGGACGAGATGCTAGGTCGTCTAGAATTTTACTGCTTGACTACATTCCAAAACAAACACCCAATAACTGTTCTACTGGCTAGCTTGGAGATATGATTCCTGAAATCCTAATCAGAAGTTGTAACCAGTGGAGTGTGAAGATGTTAGCAGAAGGACAGATATAACTGAAAAGATCTAAACGACTCCTCAGTTGAATCGCGAATACATTGAATTTGGGAACGAGGATAACTGAATCTTGGCTCAGTGGTCCAGATATACTGGGTTGCCGACGAAGTAAAAAGGTTTCAGGCTCGAATCTTTTCGGAATTTGGATTCCCATAGATCAAGGAGTACAAATTAGGATGAAACCGTTGACAATCACTTCTCAGTCAAAGAATATTGGGTTTGTTCCGGATCCTCACACACACAATCCACATTTTCAAATATCTATTCAGTTGGATGGTTGTGTTGAGGTTAGTTAGGATTGATATAAAATAGTTAGGGATGGAATTGTTCAAAGAAGAAAAACGGACATTCATATAGCAATCAAAATTTCATAACTTACCATATTTATAATTCAAATCATTGATCATCAATTCTGGACAGTGAGAATGATGGTGAAGAAAATGAGAATGACGATAATGATGACGAATGTTATGATAATGATGATGTACTGAAGAACATGAATCACATAAGTGTAAATCATTCATAGTATGTTGACTAAACTGTTGTCCGGGTGTTGACTGTTTCGAATCAAATTCATAACACGATGAAATGAGGCAGTTTGTTAGAGGGCACTCACGTGTATAAGTAGTAGTAACACTATTGTTATTATTATTATTGCTATTATTATCATTATTGTCGTACATGGATTTTGACGCAGAATGGGTACGGTTTCCTCGTGGAGTGGAAAGATGTTTATCCTTGAAATTAGGATTTGTTTGCCAATTATGAAGGCTCCTATAACAATAATATCAATAATAACTAAGCTGAAGTTCACAATATATAAATTCCGACTAAACTAAATACAATTATTTAGGGATTTTATTTCATAACAAATAATCAGATTGCTTCAAAATAGCTCAATAGTAAAGACTCTGACTATGAGACAGTGGTTTGATTTGAAATCCTATGAAGAGCAACAGCCTCTCCGAAATCCTAGATATTTCTGACTAACGTGTACCAATTAGATTGAGAGCTTTACAGTCACTACATTAATTTTTCCAGAAGCTGAGGACTTATTTTTAAGGAACTCGATATCAGCCCATAAAGTCACTAACATCTGATCTGAGCCATATTGGTAGATGCAGACTGAGCGAGTATCGTAACCAACATTTGGAGACTGTGGGTGACATGGCTCAGAATCGATTACAATGGCGTAGGTGAATACGCTCTTTGTCTTCACTTAAACCGTGACGTTAAAATTATTCAATGCTTTTCTTTATACGAACTAATTCTTTCTCACAGTATCATATCTTTATATGCAATCTTTATTTATATAATATTACTACCATTGAGGTATGGCAACCTGGACCGACGCATATATATGCCTGGTCCAACGTTGTAGATGACTGACTAACCGAACTCGATATTCACCCTACTTTAAGTTAGCTCGATTGAACGAAATTCTCATCATTAGCTTTCATTTTAAAAAGAGTGGCTCGAGGTCAATTATACAAATGTGCACCAAGCTGCCACTAAACATACTATTGCATCAGAATTCAGTATACCGAATTTCATCATCAAGTTGAAAACATATCACCTCTTGTTTTACAATCTTCACAGTGTAGTGTGGAGGTCGACATATTCTGATTGCCAACATTGTAGAACTTCATCTTTGGATAAATGTAAATTAAAAATTGATTTAGTTTCGAGGATCTTATCAATCTGGAGAAATGATTATAGTTTCACAACCTACAGAAACATATCATCAGCATCAAAAACCAATGGGACAAATCGATATGTGTTATTTTAAGGTCGATCACTTTCATAAACCTTTCCTTCATCTTTAGAAAGGCACGATCATTTGAGTTACTGGTTATCCATAATTAAGCTACTATCAGAGTCGACAGTAAGACTTCTTCTGCGAGAGTTTCCGCTTTTGATCTTACCGAGCGACCCAACAGAGACATAATGTTCCAGTTAACGTAGTTTTTTTAGATTTATCAATGACAGATAAGTCTGACAATCGCATTAATTTAACAGAAACTATCTGACAATCTTTGTTGACATCATCATGATATAGAAAACTATATAATGTCACCATTAGATGTAAACAGTGAGGTTTGCCGGTCTATATTTAGATCAGATGAGAATTATTACTTGAATGATCAACGATATGAAACTAACTTTAGTGAGAATTACATAAATGGCACAACATACCTTAATAACGACAAGAATAAGTAGTAATAAATAGGAAGGTGACTACATTAGGCTAATTTCTCCCCGTCGAAATGCAAAATGTTGCTTCAGGATTGGGTTACATCGACACCCGAACTAATGATAGGGAGTGAAGTAATTGAGCGTGTCGATCGCTTCACTTATCGTGAAAGTCTCATCAGCCCTTGTGGTCTGGTGTGTGACGACATCTCAGCACGGATACAGAAGGCTCGACTAGCTTTTACCAACTTGCGTCATTTATGGTGTAGGCGAGATATCCGTCTATCAACCAAAGGACGTGTTTACTGCGCAGCAGTTCGTCCCGTCCTACTTTATGGCAGTGAAACATGGCCGGTAAGAGTAGAGGATATTCGTAGGTTACTAGTATTTGATCATAGGTGTCTTAGAAACATTGCTTGTATATCCTGGGACCATCGAGTAAGTAATGCAGTTGTTAGGAAACGGGTACGAGGTAAGAATGGCAAATCAATTGATGACGTAGTGAAAATTCATCAGTTGAGATGGCTGGGACACGTGTTACGTATGCCCAACCACCGACTGCCTCGACGTGCGATGTTCAACGGTATAGGAGTAGGTTGGAAGAAGACTAGGGGCAGCCAGACCAAAACATGGCACAAGTCCATGAAGTCACTGACAAGTGGACCGAGTCATGTTGGTAGGTGTAGACTACCTACCTGGTTGGGGACCGCGAGATGATAGCAACCGATGGTTAGAGACCCTGAATGACATGGCTCAAAATCGTTTGCGCTGGCACAGGTGCATCCACTCTTTGTGTTCTCCCAAATTCTATTCTTCTGAATTCTTTACGTCCCTTTCTTTTTTCTCTTGCCAAATTTATTTTACTGTATTATACTCCTTGAATAACATCTTCAAACCCTAATCTTTCCGATTACTGCTTATAATTTTACTACATCTAGCACTACGGGATTTGAATCGACCACTGCATCTCTGTGCTAATGTGGTGTGGCAACTCGAACTGATGTACGTACGTACGAAGTTCTACGTTGTTATTGACTGACTGACAGTAGGCTAATGTTTCATAAAGTATAATACTCGGTAGATAATTTTAATGTCACACAACAAAAAAGTGTGAATGTTTTTACTTAAAGGTCCCCCCCCCGCAATATAATACTAGTAATCATGTAAAAAAAATAATAAACACATACTGGCTTCGATTTTCTCGATTGTTGTTTACTTGTTTTCTTAAAGGTAGTTGATCGTATGCAGATGATATTCCTGAGTCAAAAGTACTCGATGTATCTGAAGCAGTAATAATGGGCAATTGTTGACTATGACAAGTAGTAGAATGTTGAGGTTTATCATTTAATTGATGAATATAATTACAATTACAATAGTTTGCTGATAAATGATCATTTAATGCTGATGGTGAATGTGTACAATGAATACAACGATGACATTCACATGGGATCATTATGCCAGGGTGTTGTTGACAGGTACCAGTAGTAGCAGTGGTAGTATTGTTAACAGAACATGTAGAATTCAAATTAACACCAGGGATTGGGTAAGATAGTGATGATGACGGTGATTCGTAAAAAGATTCACATTGTTTACTTCTTCGTCTCAACCTACTACTACTAAACGGATATGCATAATTTGGATTTGAGGTTTCTTTGAATTGACTTGATTTAAAATATGACTTTTCACTTGTATTTGTATGATTCTTTCTAACATAATCATCGTCACCATCGAATATTCCACGTGGATAATGACGTATAATTTTCTCAACTAGTTTAGCAGTTACTTCACCATTGACAAGAGCTAACTCTGTAGTTGATGATGATAAAGCTTGCAAACTAGCCGCTTCTAAAATTGATGCAGTGTCTACTGTATCATCCATAATATCTAAATCATCACGATGATGATGATGATGGTGATGATGTAATCGATGCTTTTTTTCATAATAATTACTTACAACACCACTATCCCATGAAGCGATAGACCGTAGATCAGCTTTATTAGGTCGACTGAAACTTCGATAAGTCACATTACCACCAGAAGCAGTAATATGTCGTCTTCGATGAGAATTATCCGATATTTCTGTCCTGTTATTATTATTATTATTATTATTTGAAGATACAAAAGAAGAGTCTGTAGACGAAACAACTACTGTAGTAAGTTTACTTTTTTCCATTATTTTTTTCATTTCATACTCTTTAACATTAGATCCATTGCGTACAATACCAGTTGTATTATGCTTCATTGAATTTACAAGTGTATCATCATATAACATTGAAGGATACGGTGTATGCATCAAATTATTTTGTTCTCTTTTTGAATATGATAATAATAATTGAGTGTCAATATTCATATCGGATTCATCTGCCCAAATTCGTGAACAATGATCATCTAATATTTCTTGAGCATTTTGAAATTTATTGACACTATTCAATAATTGTGATCCAGTATTCATAATCAATGTAGAATTATAAGGATAATTTAATGTAGATTGTTGAATAGTTGAAGAATTTGTTTCATTCATTATACTATTGGTTGTATTTATAAATGAATTAGATTTTAATTGTGACCAATTTGATTGATCTAAATGATGTGATGAATTATGTTGATTAACAGTAGAAATGAATTCATTTGGATCAGTTTGTCCTATTGGTAGAGTAGTTTTAGACTCTGTTAGATGTTTATCATCAACCTATTCAATGTTAAAAGATAAAAAACATTGTTTCAAGTTCATCTAAGTAGTTACATAAAAACTAGATGTTAATTTAATAAAATCAATTTAGCGAGACTATAATTTATGGACCTAACTAAACAGAATTAGGATAACAGGACTTAGATTTTGGCACGAAATTCACTCATTCATTTGGATAAATAGAGTTACTAACTTCTAATCTGAGCCATGTTAGTAGATTCAGACTACTTGGTTGGGGCCCACGTGACTATCGTGACCAATGGTTGGAGATTCTTGGTGATTCTTGGCTCAGAATCGATCGATCACAATGGAGTCGGTGTATACACTCTCTGTCTTCGTTTAAACTAAGAGATTAAAACTGTTTCATATCTTTTTTCTACCAACTAATTCTTTCTTCCTGTACTATATCATTATATCCAATCCTTCTTTTATATATCACTACCATTGAAGTGACTACTTCTATAAATTTGGTGTTGATCTTGTTCTGTTAATGAGGTATGGCAACTTGGACCGATGCATATATGTGCCTGGTCCTAGTTGTAGCTGACTGACTGACTGACTGTTTTGGCATTATAACTGATGTAAGTTTGTGATGAAAACCCTAAATCTAATTCCTAACCCTAACCATCAAATGTGAATCATAATCCTTATTCTTCAAACTGGTTTATAACCCTCATTTAGCCCTAGTAAGTAGGTAGACACTCTCAAGGTTACTTTAGCGTCGCTCAATAGTCGTCCATAAATTATAGTCTCACCAATCAATTAACAAGTATATGCAAATATGCATGAAATTAACGGAACCTATGAAGATAATTAGTAAGAATCGGTTAACAGAATAATGATTTTCTCTTTTAAAAAAACTACTTGGAGTAAACACTGATGAGGTTAAAAATAACAATGAAGAAAACTTCACAATCAAATTACTTGGTTGAGAGGATATGATGTAACCAAAATGTTTGATGTTCTTATGAATGGCTAAGCCATAACTTTGACGTCCAATTTATAGTGTACAATAGTGTTTAAGTAGTCTTATATTAAAGTTATATATCATATCAAGTTATATAAAGTTGAATGGTTCTCTAATAATCGACTAAGTGTTTCTCTAACTGTTCATAAAATAAACACTTGACTTTTTCATTGTTGCGTTGAACCCTAAAGAATCTTCCCGTTGCGGTTCTTCTGCGTTGGGCAAGACATATGCAAACATATACTCCCACTAGAGCATAATCGGAATCTAAATGTATGCTGCAGAACGGACGAGTTTTCTACCGAGCTTTCCACATGATGACTGATATTGAAATGGTTTATTTGAGTTCATTCTTTGGACGATTTTAAGGGTTTCCATGTTAGACAACCACTCTCTTTATATTTTGGGTTGGACAGTAAGATCGAGGACTAAGTTTAGAATAGTTCACTTTTTATCATAGCCTACATTTTAGATCCAGTATTCCTCCGTACATGACCTTCCATTCTTTTGTCGAAACATATTCTCGATAATGATAATAATAATACTATATTTGTATGTGAGAGCGTTTCGAGAGAGCGAGAGCTGACTCTCCCCACTCTCGTCCGTATCAGGGCATTTTGGGGCCGTTTAAATGAACATAGAATTTTGTCTGTAGGTTAGGTTGTCCCGAATGTGATTAGTTTTACATTACGGAGTTTTTTCGTGAAACCTCGACTCGTGCCAAGGAACACTTAAGCTACACAAAATGAATTAATAATACTGTAGAACTGTAAAATTTACAAAGTAAATCAACCATATCAGCGCATGCTATAATCAATAATCACCAAATCGATATTCAAAATATCGAAATAAGTCAATAAAAGCTTTCCCAAATATGAAGAAGGGCCAGTAAATGAAGCGTTTCATATAGTGTTAAATCTGCCCCAAAATGCCATGGTACGACCGAGAATGAGGAGGGATCGCTTTCCCTATCGAAATGTTCTCACATGGCCACACGTATATAGCCCCTCTGCCAGGGAAGTCCTAATCACTGCTTTCTCATGGCGGGGATGTTGTTTACGAAATTGAGAGCACGAAAAGCGAATGTCCAGCGATCTAACCGCGTTGGTGGATACAGAGAGTCCACCTAGGGAAATTGGAAAACCCTCACTCCAAACCAATGCTGCATCTGGGCTTCAGGATCCTGAGGGAACAAATGGCGTACGAACCAGTCGTTGGTCACCGGCTACCATGGGAATACCTTGTGGATTAGACCTTTAAGTCGAAAGCTCCAGATGTGGCCTCCTAAGAAAGCCACCCAGGTAGTATCACAGCTCACACACATATCGAATGATTTATGTAGCGCATACGTCTATTTGGTACCTTCTTATACCAATATTTATGTGTTTAAACAAAATAAAATAAAATAAAAGTAAAACACAACTTACCTGATGATTAACAAGTGACATTAATTTTTCTAATTTACCACGTGATTCTTTTATTTTCTCTAATCGATCAGTTAATAATTGAACAAATGAAACTGGATCTGATTCAGCTAAATTTGTTTGTTTTCTTATTGTCCAGTTTATTTTGGGAGGATTATTATCATTATTATTATTATTAGTAGTAGTAGTAGTAGTATTAGTAGTATTAGACTCTTTTATGAGATTATCCGATTGATGTGTTTGTCGTAAATTAATTGAATGCATAAATGGTAAATCAACATTATTTGATGTTGAATTCACTGACTGCATTGTTATTACTGATGAAGATGTGATAGGTGCTTGTGTTAATAATTGACTTGAACCGTTTCCAGGATGTGGATTATCATTACTATTATTATTATTATTATTATTATTGTTATTATTATTATTATTATTATTATTATTATTATTATTATTATTCATAAAACACGGTTGATTTGTGAATTGTGATTGACTGTCACAAATGTTGCTGTTATCATGTTGTCGTTTTGAACTGGTTGCATCTTTTGCATGATTGTCTATTTGTTGTAGATGACTATCAGTTAATCTAAACAACAATATTAATTATCAAGAATTAGATGTAATAAGATAAATGGATTAAACAAACGATTGGTTAAATGAAGTTTTATAAAGACTGGTTGTCATAATTGATTGATCACTGGGTGGTGATCAATGTCATGCGTGTCTAGTTCTTATTACTAGTGCAGATCGAATGCTATCGATCATGTTGCAAAGTGGTCACCAGTCTAGATGACTCGACATTGTGATTACATCACAGTCCTACAAGAGGTTAGTCGCGGCTCGGATAGCTCAGTGGTAACGTTCTTGACTGTGAAGCTGGGTGACACGGGATCGAATCCGCCAGGGAGCACTAGTTCCCTCAAGATTACAAGTACACCTTGCTGACGAGTGCCAAGTAGCATGAAACCCGGGTCCAGAGTTTCCTGTTGACTATTACCTCCAACCACCAGCTAAGAGGCTGGTTGTATTTGTCATAGATTGATTTCAGTTGGAATGGTTGTGTATTGTACTGTGTAGAAGAGTCCCAATACTAGGACGAAACATCTGTCCAGTGTTCTCTTTTTAATAATACTGTAACTGAGACTAAATTATGACGGATACAACGTACAAATACTTCGTTAGTGAATTCAATTCATCAGTTATAATCAGCAGTAGGCCTGATGTAAAGATATTTCAGCCCAAGCTGCTACATATCATATTAGGACAGTGATGAGAAAAATAATGATACTAATTTAAGTGAGAAAGTAACCATGAAATCTATCAAAATGAGTGTTATTTGTAATGATTTGTATTTCTGTTTTCTCTATACTTTTAGCTGAATTTGAGGTATCTGTTGACGCATAAGTTTCAATGACGTGGAGACTAGAGACTGGGGTGAGATGATAATTTATGAACGACCTTTGAGCGACATTAGACTGACCTTGAGAGTTTCCACTTAATAAGTAGGACTAAATGAGAGTTATAAACCTGTGTGGGGAATTATAATTATAGTTTACAGTTGATGATTAAGTTTAGGAATTAAATTTCGGGTTTTCATCACGAACTGATATCAGCTATAATGCCAAAACTCTATTTATCCAAATAGATGAGTGAATTTCACGCAAAAATCCGATATCGTTTATCTTATACATGATTGGTCCGTCCATAAATTATATTCTCATCGATACTAGTTATGGAAAGATTAATCAACTGATTTCCTCCGAAATCTGTAAATAAACAATCAAAGGATTAAGAAATTTCACAGGTTGAAATTATGATTCAATTGAAGCTAGACCACCATGGAAAACCTGGAAACACTGGATGGCCGTTTCGTCCTAGTATGGGACTCCTCAGCAGTGATTAAGAAATTCATCGACAATTGACTCATCACTGGATAGTGATCAATTTCATGTGTGTTATATTCGAGTTTTCTATTGACTACCATCCTTTGAATTTTTTTCCAAATATGGTATTATTCACAATTAAGGTATAATATCGATTTTGATTCCACCGAAGAAAACAAAAAGCCAACACCAAAACTATGACGAAACAAAGAAAATTCTATGACAAAAATCATATCACTTATCTCTTAATCAAGCACACTTTAGATTATTTCATTTTAATAAATTAGGTCAAATGTATGAATCCCCTCTGTATGTAAGTGTGTGTGTGTGTGTATGTACGTGGAATTGTTATGTGATTAGAAAATCTATAGAATTAAAAAAATATATTCCTTTGTAAGTTTACCGGGGTTTTAGTTGTACATGTTCCATTGAAAAGCAGAATAATCAAAATATTATAAAGGCTATTCACATTCACATTCACATAGAAACATTTATAGAAAATGTGCATAATACAGAAACAAAAACATAAAAAACAAAACATGGATAGACAGACAGACAAACAAACAAACAAACAAACCGATTTTTGTGGACAAACAATCAATAGGTAAACAACACAAGTAAACATACATACATACATACATAGAAACAGTTATGTAGATATAATCCGATGACAAAAGAGGCAAAGTTTTCCACATGTGTATCTATGTATGTATATATATATATATATACACATAAACACATAGATAATACATAAGGCTTGTCATAAAGTACCGTCGCCGCCATTGCCGCCATAGTTAAAGGACGCTTTTAACCGACAAATAAAAATAAAGTAGATTTGTTTTTGATGTTGAAGTGTGTGTGTGTGTGTCTGTGTATTTATGTACGTGGATGTGTATTTTCATATTGAATTATGCACATATTATCACCGCTTTTTTAGAAAAAAAACAAGCTTTAACTATCATCATTCTGCTTGTAACAACATTCAACAATATCGATAATAATATTCATGATACTAATAGTAATAACAATAGACCTATTAGATTGAGAGAGAGCGAGAGAGAGTAAAACTGTCTTCATTTCATTAAAACACTAAAACGAATAGAGTATGTATGCATGTTGTATATACCGCGATGATCAATGCAACTAATTTGTGTTGGTAAATGACAGTGTATCAGTTAGTTATGACAGGATTAATCGCGGCAATATGTATATATATGTATACTAACATTTAAACAAACAGTGAAATGCACTTCCGTGACTATGCATAATACATATCTATGAATGTATAAGGTAGACAACAACAATACAGCTGTTAAAAATTATTAAAGACGCAGAGAAATTATTATGATTATTGTTTTTAACAGTAGTAGTAGTAGTAGTAGTAGTACTAGCAGTAGTAGTGTATGTCTGAATAAGTAAAATCGATAGAGTTTTGTAGAAAACGAAAAAAAGCAATGAAACAACACGAATTCATCACGAAAAAAAAAGCTTGATACATAGAGTTAAACAGACTTATTTATGAAGGTACAAAGAACATTACACTTGATAAGGTAAGGTAAGTTAGAAGAAAACAACATAAAAGATAAATATTCATGATCTATCATGTATTTTTAAACTCAAACATAACAACCAAATGATTGCGTAATCAGTTTTATTAGTTAAACATATTTCGCTTGTATAAATGACCTAAAGTAAGTTTAAACGGTTTCATCTAAATGTCTACGGTATAGTTAAATTTCATATACCACTTAAATCAAAAATTTATGCATAAACATATTAGAAATATTTAACAATTGTAAAAGGTTTATTTTGTTCTCGGTGGTCGACCTTTGAGCGATGTTAGAGGGACCATGATAGTGTCCACCAAGTAACTAGGAGTAAATGACAGTTATAAAGCAGTATGAGGAATTGGAATTATGATTTACAGTTGATAGTTAAGGTTAAGAATTAGATTTAATGGTTTTCATCACGAACTTAAATCAACTGAAATGCCAAATTTCTATTTAGCTAAATGAATGAATTTATTTCGCGCCAAAATCTGACATCTGTTATGTTATACGTGATTGGTTCGTCCATAAACTATAGTCTCTCCTTGTTTTCTATTATCTCTGTCATTCTGCATATTTAGAAAATATGCATTGGCTGTTTGCTCAGTAATAAATTAGATACAACACCAATTATTATCAGAAGGGGTTTTGTGGAGATTTTAGAAATTTCACTGATTGAAATCATGAGTCAATTAAAGCTAGACTACCGTTGGATACTGGATCAATAGTCTAGTTGTTTAAGCGCTTGGCGCGAGACTGATAGGTCCTGAGTTCGAATCTCACGGGGGGGGGGCGAGATCGTGGATGCGCACTGTTGAGGAGTCCCATACTAGGACGAAACGGCCGTCCAGTACTTCCAGGTTTTCAATGGTGGTCTAGCTTCAATTTACTCATGATTTCAATCTGTGAAATTGTAAAAGGTGTTCCTTAATACACTCAAAAACACTAGGACTATTTCGTTTCATTCTATGTCTATAAGACAAAAGATTTAACCTTCATCCTCAATTAGTATCCATCAAGGTTGTCCAATTATATATATATATATATATATATATATATATATATATATATATATATATATATATATATATATATATATATATATATATATATTTGTTTAGTTGCCTAATGAATATCTTCCTGAAGGTGATGCCATCACTAGACAACTTTTCATAGATTATTGACAGCTTAATTAAAGACTTTCTAATCAATTTGAAGTATATAAACGATAGTTTTATTTGTTATGTATTCTAAGATGATACAGTGTTGTAAGTTCACCAGTTAACAATCTGGGAATGTTTTGACAACGTTTCAATACGCAGTTTCTGGGTGTCTCCAGTCTGATAACAGAAAATAAAACAGTGGAGAGCATTGACGATTTTAACAATCTTGAGTTTTACTATCTTCATTTGTGAATAGATAGGTGACATAATTTCATCACGCTTATGAATAAATTGTCTGGCTTTGGTCAACCTGAATTGCTTGATCATTAAAGGTGAAGTTTATTACTATCTTTGAAGGTTTCTTAGATGTATTGCTCATATGAGGTAAGACTGTCAAGCACATGTAGTGCTATGAAATTACATCTGTTAGAATATTTGGGATAAGCATTGCACATACACAATAGCCACTTACTAATTGATCAACATACGAGTACATCAGAGAGATGATAATGGTAATCAAATTAAGAAATGGGATTAGTCCATGAAGTGATTGATAGATGACAAAATCCACTCAATAGTACTGGAATAGCGTATAAATATATGCTAAATATTGTTGAATAAGCGTTAAAAATTCCAATCATCAAAAGTAATTTTCAAACTACTTTTTAATAGACACCACTCAGTAAGTTCAGTAAACTTAAATATTGAAATGTGTCTAGTTTACTGGGTCATAACTCAACATTACACAGTGTACTATGCAGAAAGACTGATGTTCACGTTATAAAAAACTAACTGAATTATTTGATATTTAACGTATCCTATAAAACATACATATCTGTTAGATATTCACAACGATTTTAACAAAGTTGGGTAGTGGCTAGGAATGGGATTCAGAAAGTTCAGTGGACAACGAATTGGACATTTGAAACGTAAGATAGTGGGATTTGGAATCCCGGTCTGAATATCAACACTGAGATGCAGGTACACCCAGTT